TAAGTGTGAAAAATAGTCATAAGTCACTTTTTTCTGTTGTAACTTTGAATGGTCACCAAATGAACTGTTGTAAGTTGAGGACTATCTGTGATTATCTAGGCCAGTGGTCACTTTAAGACATGTGGACTTCCAACTCCCAGAATTTCCCAACCATTGAATTGAAATCCATGCATCTTAAAGTGGCCAAGGTTGAGAAACAAACTAATATTTTTTTCCCCCAAGAGAAGGAGGTATGTATTTTTTGGATTAATATCCTTCCTTTTGTCAAGAATTTCAAGTGAGTGTTCCTTCTTCCCATTTGTCCCACAACAGCCCTGTGAGGTAGGTTGGAATGAAGATGGAGGACTTGATTGATGGCTGTCTTGCAATGAGGACTGTTACCCTATGTTGCAAGGAAAAAGCAATAAAGGGGGAGGGGTTTATGCCACCCTGTGACCCAGTGTTATTTTACAAAAGAGAGAGAGAAAATATATCCTGCAAGCGAGTTATTTTAGTCTAGTGATTTTTTAAAATTTATTTATATTTCATACTAACTTCCTATCTCCTTCAGAGGGGTGTTAACTGAGCAACATCCAGCCAAACACCTCTTGTTTCGGAAACGCTGTGTTCATACAACACGCTTAGCTTAACTTAAGCTAAGCATGGCTTACTGAATTTTCCCCGAATCCACCTTGTTTACGCATGACGTGGAAATAAAGCTACTAGGTTTGGAACTGAATAAAGGTATATGAACAGCCAGGGTTCCTGCTGGAGTGGAATAGAAGGGAGAGGGAAGTGGTGATTTGTTTTTGTTTTTTTCCTGCTGAAACTAAATATATTTTCTAGTTGCCAAAGTCACAAGTGCAGATTTGAATCAGAACTTAGTCATAGAGAGCCATGACTAAGATTTGTAAAGCTTCGCTTATCTTCAGGAAACTATGATAAGCTGTTCTAGAGGCTGGTTCACCAAATATTACATGAAGTATCATGTAATCTTGCAAAAGTCTGTTCTTTGTCCCACACGAGACTGATATGACGACTCATGATGACAGAACGGTGTGATTGTTCAAGGCAGATATATCTTACCTAGAAACTCCAGTCCTAAAGATTCTCTGAAAGCTTTGGCAGTGATACTGTGATGTGAGCCATGAGGGCAAGGCTGGTGTTTTTTATTTTTTTGTTTTTACAGAAGAGGATATTTGGTAAACTTAGTTCAGTTTAAAAAGTCCATGAAAAAGTGCTTGCTTTCCATAATTGGAAGCAAACTCCCAGTTAGCACTGGTGCTGCAAAAAAACAGGTTGAGATTTCAAGTCAGTACATTTCTGGATAGAAGTTCCATTCTGATGTGGAAGCAGGTCCTCTACTTTGAAATGCTAGGTAAAAAGCAGAAATTCCATAGGTGTAGCTGTTGTGAGCTTTGCTGCTCTTATTCAAATGCCAAATTTATATCCGAGCTGATCCACTATAGAGCATGGACAGAGTGGGGAATTCACAGTACTTCATCCCCCCCCCCATCAACCTAGAAAGCTAATGTTGGGGAAGGAGCTTCTGCATGTGAAATTATCTGGAACAAATCTGACACGATTGCATGGTTTCAGGAAGTCTTTATGTGGTGCTGAAAAAAACCACAGTTGTTTTTGGAAGGGAATGCAAGAAACTTCAGAAGACGGGGATCTGATGAAATTCCTCTAATGAATACAATATTAGGGGCAAACTTGTATGCAAGTAATAATAATAATAGTAGTAATAATAATAATAATAATAATAATAATAATAATAATAATAATAATAATAATAATAATAATAATAATAATAATAATAATAATAATAAAGTTGGAAGGGACCTTGGAGGTCATCTAGTCCAACCCCCTTCTCAGGCAGGAAACTCTATACCATTTCTGACAAATGGCTGTCCAGTCTCTTCTTAAAAACCTCCAATGTTGGAGCATTCGCCGCTTCTGGAGGCAGGTTGTTCCACTGGTTAATTGTTCTCACTGTCAGGAAGTTTCTCCTTAGTTCTAAGTTGCTTCTCTCCTTGATTAGTTTCCACCCGTTATTTCTTCTCCTGCCTTTAGGCGCCTTGGAAAATAGCTTGACTCCCTCTTCTTTGGGGCAGCCCCTGAGATATTGGAACACTGCTATCATGTCCCCCCTCGTCCTTCTCTTCATTAAACTAGACATACCCAATTCCAGCAACTGTTCCTTATATGCTTTAGTCTCCAGTCCCCTAATCATCTTTGTTGCTCTTCTCTGCACTCTTTCTAGAGTCTCAACATCTTTTTTACATCGTGGTGACCAAAACTGGATGCAGTATTCCAAGTGTGGCCTTACCAAGGCATTGTAAAGTGGTATTAATACTTCACGTGATCTTGATTCTATCCCTCTGTTAATGCAGCCTAGCACTGTGTTGGCCTTTTTGGCAGCTGCAGCACACGGCTGGCTCATATTTAAATGATTGTCCACTAGGACTCCGAGGTCCCTCTCACAGTTACTACTGTTGAGCAAACTATACCTGTACATTTGGTTTTTCTTGCCTAAATGTAGAACCTTGCTTTTTTCACCATTGAATTTCATTTTGTTAGATAGCGCCCAGTGTTCCAGTCTGTCCAGATCCTTCTGTATCTTAAGCCTGTCTTCTGGAGTGTCGTCTCTTCAATCTGGAGATTTTTTAAAAAGATTTATTTCTTAAATAAAGGGTTTTGTTTTGCGACGTGCTGATGGCTGCATCTTTGTTATTTCCTTCTTTATATTGGCTTGTCTTTGTTTCAATGGTTGCTATGAGTCACTCACTCTCAGTCCTAGGAAGTAGGCAGTGGCAAATCACTTCTGAAATCTTGTCAAGAAAACTTCAGGGACTTATCCAGGCAGTTGCCAGGAGTCAACGCTGACTCGAAGGTTCACCCTCCCCTAAAAAAATGATCCACAGCAATGTTTCTTAACCATGGCAACTTGAAGATGTGTGGAATTCAACTCCCAGAGTTGAGCCAAAAGGATGAACTGAACAGACTGTATGCTGCTCTCTAGTGGCCACAATAGATTACATAAAAGAAAGAAAACAGATCTAGGAATTAGAAGTTTTCCAATATCTCAGGGGCTGCCCCAAAGAAGAGGGAGTCAAGCTATTTTCCAAAGCGCCGGAAGGCAGGACAAGAAGCAACGGATGGAAACTAACCAAGGAGGGAAGCAACCTAGAATTAAGGAGAAATTTCCTGACAGTGAGAACAATTAACCAGTGGAACAACCTGCCTCCAGAAGCGGTGAATGCTCCAACACTGGAAGTTTTTAAGAAGAGACTGGACAGCCATTTGTCTGAAATGGTATAGGGCAGTGGCGAACCTATGGCATGCGTGCCAGAGGCGGCACTCAGAGCCCTCTCTGTGGGCACGCACGCTGTCGCTTCAGCCCTGCCTCCCCCATGGCCCCCTCCTCACCAGCAGCCCCCCGGAGAAGAATTGTCCCTGGGTGCAGCCCGTGCGGAGCAGCGCAGCCAAGAACATGGCAGCTGGGCAGCAGGGACAAGCCCCGTCACACGCAGATGATGCTACGGGGTGCGGGCGGAGGACGTGGCTGCCATGGTGCTACAGGGCTACTTGTGCGATCTCCTGCAGCGGGCCGTGGAAGCGGTGTGTGGCCCTGCGCACGGGTGAGGGTAGGGCAGAGTGGGGGCGGGTCAGTGGGTGGGGTGGTTTTGGGGCACTCGGTCTCTAAAAGGTTCGCCATCACTAGTATAGGGCTTTCTGCCTGAGCAGGGGGTTGGACTAGATGACCTCCAAGGTCCCTTCCAACTTTATTATTATTATAATTATCTTTTACATCTGCTTTTGTCTCAACATTACTAAAAAAAAATTAAAACCTGCATAGCTCATAGAAGAGTTTAATCCAATCAAACCATCCATCTTCCAGTGTTGACAATGTGCCAAATTTTTAAACTTCTCTGCTCGGCCTGATATTCAGGTGAGCGCATATTTCAGGAGAAACTGTAAGCTTGGTTGCTATTTTAGGATTCCTGAATTGGTCCTTACCTTATAAAAGGTATTGCATTTCTGTCCATTTTGAATGTTTTCTTACAGTCTTTGCACCATAGTCTTTGTTTTTAGTTTAAAATCTGTAGATTAAAAAAAAAGTAAAGCGCCTTTAAAATGAAAAAAGCTATATAGTAACTATTATTGCTCTTTTCCACAGAGTTCAGGGCAGAGTAAAATGTATTCCTTCCTGAGGACCAGTGGCATGTTGGAGATCTTAAGGATTACATGATGTCTGTCAACCTGCTGAACTTAATGAGTTGTAAGTGGAACTCAGGATACTATGCCCATTGAACAGAGTTTAAACACAAATATGGTCCAATACTAGCACTTTATTCATCCTGTTTTAGCATAGAATAATAGTAGTCCTCAGCTAACAACCCTTTGTTTAGTGACCATTTGAAATTTTTTTGTGACCATTTGAATAGTTTTTTTTATACTGTCTGTAAAACTAGGTAGACCTTGGTCATCCATTGATTATATCATTAATGGTAGTATATTGCTATGTCTTCTTGTGTTGGTTCTGTTTAGTTTTGTTTTATTTGAATGTTTAATTTATGTGTTGGCCTTTGGCTGTAATAATAAATTGATTGAAACTGTGCTGGAGAAGTATTTTGGTTCTTTCCAGCACCGATAGAAATTCTTGTTTTCCCATGTAAGTCTTAGATAGTGTGTTATCCTTGGAGATCATTTTTAAAGACAAACTAGACGATTTCTCTCAAAGGACAGTTCACTTCTCAAAAGGCTAAACATTTTGAACTCGGACACTTGTTGATATATTGCCGACCACGCTCCTGTCATCTGTAGACACCCCTTTTTAAAAAGTCAGTCCAAGATATTTTCTTGAAGTCATTCAATCAGCCCGTTTTTGAAAAACTTATTATTATTTTTTTTCAGGAAGAAACTGTTGGAGCATTGCTTTGATCAATATTTGTTAGTAAGCACTTTAAAGGCGATGTCAACCACTCTTTCAGGTAACTCATGCTTCTAAAATACTTTATTACAGCAGGAGATATATATATATATATATATGGTAAAAATATAAACAAAAGTGAACACCAGGAAAAGTTAAAACTATAAAAGTTTTAATAAATTAGGATCCAAGCTTTCACCGGCTCACTGCCGGCATCTTCAGGGATCTATGTAGGTCAATGGGAGCACACTTTTATGATCAAACCACCTTTGCACCCGGCCCATGGACGCTACCATGGGACTCCGTCAGCCAATCGCCGTTCTGACCCCGTTTTTGTTCTGTTAACAAATTCACCTGCGCTGTTCTTACCCTTGCACAACTTGCCACCGCTATTCCCCTCGCCCTCTCTCCTTCTTCCTTCCTGTTTTTTCCTCGATCTGCACCGCTCGGTACTCCTTCTCCCTTTCCACACCCGGTAAACGTGCAGCCACGCCCCCCCCAGGTACCGATGTCGCCCTCCTTTCTTCACCACCATTAACTAGCCGGGGGCACACACTTGCCCTTGCGTTGTTCTCCACCTTGCCCTGCAGCCGCAACTCTCGGCCTTTTCCCCCCCCCTCTGCCTTCTCCGTATTTCCCCTGCTCTCCGTCTCCCCCCTTTCTCTCCCCGCCAAGGCCACTTCCTGCGTCTGCAAGGCGGCTGCACGCGAGCGTGGAACCGCCCCTAGAACGGGGCAGTGTTCCTCTCCCTCCCCTCCTCTCCTCATTGCTCCCTCCCCTCCTCCTCCCTACGTTGCTCCCCACCTTGCCCTGCAACTGCAACCCCCTCTCTACCTGTTCTTTCCCCCTCCCCTCCTTCTGAACCGTCCTTCCCGTCCTTCCCATCCCCCCCCCCTTCTTTCTGCTGGGACCCCTTCGTTCATCCACAAAGTGGCTGCACGAGAGCGTGTGACTGCTCCTAAAGCGGGGCAGCATTGGTCTCCCTCCCCTCCTCTTCCCATGGGAGATGCCGTGTTCGTTTGCAGGGCGGTTCGTCCGGGATAATATATATTATCCAGAAGAGAAATGGGAATGCCATGACGGTGCAGTGGACATGTTTTATAGATCTTCTGGTTTTTGGGCTAAATTAGCTTTTAGTTTGGAGAGAAGAGGCCATGCTGGATATCACGATGGATAAGTTTAGTCATAATGAAGCATGTCTTTAGAGCTGCTTTAGAGCAGTGGTTCTCATGCCGCGACCCCAACTGGTCGTAAGTCGAGGACTAAACCGGTCGTAAGTCGAGGACTAAACCGGTCGTAAGTCGAGGACTTTCCCTGCCCGGGAGTGCCACGCATGCGTGGTTCCGCCCCCTGTGCCGGCCGAGGCGTAGCTGGCAAGCGGCAGAGACGGAGCAGGCCGACCACCAGCTGGCCCAGCCCAAGGGAGGTAAGGCACCCGCCGGAAAAGGGGGAAAAATGGCGGACAAAAAAATGGCGGACAGCCTTGCTTGGCGACCCCCGTGAAATGGTCGATCGACCCCAAATGGGGTCCCGACCCACAGTTTGAGAACCACTGCTTTAGAGGCTTGATTGGAGCAAGCATAAGAGAAAGAATGATAATTCCTTGTATTGTATCCAGGGTGTATTAATTTCCCGCCAAATGGGGAAAAAAATGTTGCGATTTTTCCCTACTTCAGTGCTGCAGGAGGAGCTGGTTTCTGTTGACGATGAACTGCAAGCGTTGGAGATCCAGATTCAAGAACTTCTTGAACATCAGCAACAACTAATTCAAAAGAAGACCGTCCTGAAGAAGAAAATAACACAGTTGTCTGACACAGAAAGCGGGAGCAGCAAAGAGACTGAATCAGCAACTGAGGACTGGAACAAAGAAGGTCTTGCAAGCTCTGAATCTTTATGTTGCCATTTAAGTCAAACAGTGACCTAATCAACATTACATTCAATATTCAAAAGATGATCACTGCTATTAAAGTGCAATGGCTGTTAATTTTATGTACATCTGTTTTTCAATTAAATGGGGTGAAAGCATAGTTCCTTTACTGCATGCTGTCCGTAATCATACTACATGCATAGTTCCAAATTTAAATTTGGGGAAGATTCTTCACTGCTATATTAAGCCGTCATAACATTTTGACACACAAATAACCACCAGTTGGATGCTCATTTAGTTCAAAAGAAGTTGGCTGTAGTTCACTTGCTCGTAGTTGGTTTTTCAAAAAAGGGCATGCTGGCTTTTGATTCTTGTGTCTGCTGCACAATGAAGATGTTGCTTGTAAAGGAGAGAAAAATGGAGGTGGAAAAGCAAGTAGTTCTTCCTCTTGTTCTCTGGTTGAGGTTTTCCAGCTGAGTGATCTCAGTAGGGTATTTTCGATTTAGAAAATGGAAAACTTATAAAATTTGGTTCATTGTTTCCCCTTCGCAGGAAAAGCCCTTTAACTGTCTTTCTATACTCAAAGGCACCTCAAAGTTCTTTTTAAATGTTCTTTTCACAGACTTTCCGTGGTCCACAAAGATAAGGGATGTGTTACAAAAGAGCTTTGGCCTCCAGAGTTTTAGGCCCTTGCAGCTGGAGACAATTAATGCAACAATGGCAGGCAGAGATGTATTCCTTGTCATGCCTACTGGAGGGGGGAAAAGCCTGTGTTATCAGTTGCCAGCAGAGGGTTCTCCGGGTAAGTACCTGGGCTTTGTAACTCCAGCAACTGTTGTTGGTTGAAGTCAGTAAGAAGTAATGGATTCATACTGTATAATGTTCTAACAGCCTTTCCCAACCTATAAGCTCTTCAGACAACCTAGGACAAACATAAAATATTTTCTTTCCAAATAATTAACTTCCATCTGCTGATAGGATAGGTCAGTGATGGCGAACCTTTTAGAGACCAAGTGCCCAACGCCCCCCTCACCCCAGCTCTGCCTCCTGCCCTGCCTGCTCCGCCCCCGCCCGCCCCCTGCCCCACCTGCCCACAGGGCCACGCACCGCCTCCATGGCCCACCGCAGCATATCGCCCAGGCAGCCCTGCAGCACCATGGCAGCCACGCCCTCCGCCCACACCCCACAGCATCATCTGCATGCTATGGGGTGCGAGGGCGGAGTCTTGTCCCTGCTGCCCGGCTATGTCCTTGGCTGCGCTGCTCCGTGTGGGCCGCACCTGGGGGCGACTCTCCTCCAGTGGGGCTGCTGGTGAGGGGGCTGCCAGGGGAGGCGGGGCTGGGACGACGATGTGTGTGCCCACAGAGAGGGCTCCGACTGCCGCCTCTGGCACGCGTGCCATAGGTTCGCCACCACTGGGATAAGTGTTAAGCCAGGGGTCTTCAAACTTGGCCCTTTTATGACTTGTGGACTTCAACTCCCAGAATTCCTCAGCCAGGCACGTGTTAAGCAATTCTAGTGCAACAAGCCATTAAAATATAAACAGAGCAAACCGCACTACTTATTAGCACTGATGATGTTACCTAGTTTGGGTAATGAGATATCTGCAAGAAAACAACCAAACCTAGGCAGCATCAAGGACCCCTCAGCTTTCCTTCTGCAGCATTACATTTTCTTCTGTTAAATGAAAACGTGCCAACAAAGAAAATGCATTTTTCCAATGACTTTAATTCTTTTTGTTTAATTCTTTTTTGATTTCTTTTTGTTCCAGGCTTCACACTTGTGATCTGTCCTCTCATCTCCCTTATGGAGGATCAGCTAATGATGTTGGAACAGCTGGGTGTATCAGCAACTTTACTGAATGCTTCCAGTAGCAAGGTATGGCTAGGTCAAGGGTAGGCAACCTTGGCTCTTTTATGACTCGTGGACTTCAACTCCCAGAATTCCTGAGCCAGCCAAGCTGGCTCAGGAATTCTGGGAGTTGAAGTCCACGAGTCATAAAAGAGCCAAGGTTGCCTACCCCTGGGCTAGGTGCCAAGATGACTACTTGCCAGAGATATTGGTTTTTGAAAACAGTAGCTCTAGTGAATGAGAGCGATTGTGCTGATTAGAATGAGTCTTGCCACTAGAGTGGCATAGAAAAAAGAATACTATTGAAAAAGATCTATATGTTGAGGCTACAACAAACAGCACTGGATTTAACACTTAATTGAAAAGCCAAAGATGCTTTTCCAAAAGGCAACTGGACTTTCTTGATTTTTTTTTCCCCTTGAAAACGTTTCACTTCAGTTCTTCAGAATTGAAGAAGCTTCTTGAATGAGAAGTGAAACATTTTCAAGGGGAAAAAAACAAAGTTCAGTTGCCTTTTGGAAGAGAACCTTTGGGACAACCATGATCTGGATGATTGAGAATCTCCATAGACTTAATTGAAAAATTCCAACTTGGAAATATGATCTCTTTTTACCTGGCAGACAAATCAGAATTTGTTTCTATGGCCTTGGTGTCCCAGATAATAGAGAATCCAGAAGTCAAAAGGTGCATCTTCTGCTTTTGGTTTTGATTTGGAATGGTTAGTGCTGAAAGTTTGAACTGTAAATAAGCTTTGTGCAGGTTGTTCTCAACTTACAACCAGTTATTTGGCAACCGTTCAAAGTTACAACAGTGCTGAAAAATGTCCAGTCCTCACATTAATAACATCACATCACCCCCATGATCAAGTGATCACAATGCGGGTGCTTGGCAAGCAGTTCACATTTACTACAGTTGCAGTATCCTGCAGTCACACGGTTGCAGTGTGTGAGCTTTTTTGCTGATTTCCAGCAAGAAACACCTGCTTGGAAGAATGGGTTCACACTTTAAACTGCAGCATTTGGTTCATGACGAAGAATTTGCTTAACAATCATAGTGATTTTCTTAGTGATCATTATAAAAATGGTAGTAAAGTTGGGACCAACTCAGCTTAAAACCCCAACAACTTAGAAAACTCCAGTCACAATGATGGGACTAATAAGCACAAACTGAGGACTGATTGTAAAAGGAATGATTTATATCAATGCTTCATTGCATATGGGTAGTGGGGAGAGCTGGATAAAGCAGGAAAGTGGAGCAAATAACTATTATGCATTGTAATGGGTCCCAAACTCTTCAGCCAGCATGGCCAATCTTAATTGGTGTTGACAATTGTTGGAATGAAGGACCACGTCTCTGAAATAGGTACTTAAATTAGGCACTTTTTGGGGAAAAAAAGCAGAACAGCATTTATCCTACTTGGATGAATATTTGGATTGCTGTTTAACAGTCTGTTTCAAACAACTTCAGGGGTGGATTTCAATCCATGCTGCCTGAGGAACACTGGGAGTTGAAGTCCACCCATCTTAAAGTTGCCAAGTTTGAAGAAACACTGTTTTAGCACATTACCAATACATAGTAAGATGCATGATGCTCCTTTGTCAGGTTTTCTGCACCTCAGTTGGGAAGAACTGCAACGTAAACATTAGAAAACCATCTTTGTAAATGTTTGAGGTGGCTTTGTACCAAAATGTGTGACAGACGAATCCGTACTGAGTCAGGTCTTGGCATTTTCTAACTGACTTGAACAATCTCCTTTTCTTCCCCCTCAGGAACATGTGAAGTGGGTTCATGCTGAAATGCTGTCTCGCAACTCGCAGCTGAAGCTTCTTTATGTGACCCCAGAGAAGATAGCGAAAAGCAAGATGTTTATGTCAAAGCTAGAAAAAGCTTACCAAACAGGACAGCTGACCCGGATTGCCGTAGACGAAGTCCATTGCTGCAGCCAGTGGGGACATGACTTCAGACCTGGTATATCTACCCAGGAGAAACTTAATCCAAAGAGGAAGAATTGCTATTTTTTTTTCTGCTAGCAAATGAATTGCTGTTCTTCCCCTCTCTCCCCGTTATCCTAAACTTTTTATCTTAGTTAGTTGTAGGGCAATTTTCCACTCAAAAGAAAAATGTTGGCGACATTTTCAGAAATGCTTTTCCATTGCTTTCTGTTCTGTCCCAGCCTACGTGAGTCCTTGTTATGCTCACAAGGAGAAATCCTTCTTCCAAGAAACAGGCAGGAACCGCAAGAAAAAACCAACCCCTTTTATTCTCACGGACCTGAGTCAGTGTCCAAGGCAAACAAACACAGTCCATAGAAACTTGATCCTCAACACCAACAGTTGCCTTTGGCAACCAGCACCTCCCACATGTTCCCTTTTATAATTCAGCCAAGGCGTGGCTTCCTAATGCCTTCTCCTTTGCCTTTGGAGCTGCCCCATTGTATTCCTCTGTCCTACTCACTTCTCTTGCCTGCGCTTTCGTGCATCCTGGATTTGTCCCAGCTGTTCTTCATCACTGTCCAACTCAGGCTCCCAGCACAGCTGTGTCTCAGCCTGAGCGCGAGTAGAGGGGCCAGGCTCCTCGGCCGACTGAAAGTCTTGGAGCTCCTCAGAGCCTTCCTCTGACTCTGATGTCACTCCAGGCCCCTCCTCCTCCTCATCTGATTTCTCAGACTCAGCTGCCGGGTCCACTGGCTGGCGAGGAATCACAACACTTTCTTCTTCCTAGGGCTGACTGAGAGGGACTGGCCCAAAGCCAACCAGCTGGCTTCATGCCAGAGGCGAGACATGAGCTCACAATCTCCTGATTTCTAGCTTTGTGCCTTAAATCTCTACACCGAACGTGGCCCACAATCAGTGATGTAATGCATCATCTCTGCTCTTCTCTTACACATCCAGATTACAAGTTGCTTGGGATCTTAAAACGGCAGTTTCCCAACGCGCCCTTGATTGGATTGACTGCAACCGCAACGGGACATGTGCTGCGTGATGCGCAGAACATCCTCTGTGTGCCAAAATGCATCACCTTCACGGCGTCCTTCAACCGACCCAATCTCTATTACGAGGTACTTCTGCTACGTTGGTTTCCCCACCCCATTTTAAATTACTAAAATATATCCTAATTTGCCCCTATATCTTCTGGAAAAGTGTCTAGGATTGCTGGAACTCAAGTCTGGAGATCACTCATTTGTCCTTCCTTGTGCTTTCATTACTGTTATTTACTTAGAACAGTGTTTCAGAACCTTGGCAACTTCAAATTTGGTGGACTTTAATTCCCAGGATTCCAGAGCCAGCCGACTGGCTGGAGAATTCTGGGAGTTGAAGTCCGCCCATCTTAGTTGCCAAGGCTGGAAAATACTGACTTAGAACTGATGGCCTCCACGTTCCATACGCAGAGGCTGTTTTTAATTTTAAATGTATGTAAGGCTTAAACGACCTGAAGGGATTTTTGAATGCCTTTTGAAAAAATTTAAATCATTCTAGGTTCGTCAGAAGCCATCATCCGCTCAGAATTGCATTGAGGATATTGTGAAGCTCATCAATGGAAGATACAAAGACCTTTCAGGTGAGCAGTCTAAAAAGAATCCCTCCCGAGAATATGTTAGCATCGCTAAGAGATCACCATTGTTAGCCTCTTCCCACACCCTATCTGAGTACTGAGGACATGTTCAAAATAGAAAATGTGTATTGTTTTGAATCTAACAAAAACACCCACATTGCCTTCTTAAAAACTTGCTGTGGATTTGTGTGTGTGTGTATGTGTGTTCTGGGTTTTGGCTGAAACAAAACTTCAGCAATGGCGGACTGGTTTTAAAGGAGAAGTAAGGGAAAACTGCCCCCCNACCCTATCTGAGTACTGAGGACATGTTCAAAATAGAAAATGTGTATTGTTTTGAATCTAACAAAAACACCCACATTGCCTTCTTAAAAACTTGCTGTGGATTTGTGTGTGTGTGTATGTGTGTTCTGGGTTTTGGCTGAAACAAAACTTCAGCAATGGCGGACTGGTTTTAAAGGAGAAGTAAGGGAAAACTGCCCCCCCGTCCATCTTCCTAGGGCAAGGGTAGGCAACCTTGGCTCTTTTATGACTCGTGGACTTCAACTCCCAGAATTCCTGAGCCAGCATGGCTCAGCTTGGAAATCTCTCCCTTTCCCCTCAGCATGGCTGGCTCAGGAATTCTGGGAGTTGAAGTCCACAAGTCATAAAAGAGCCAAGGTTGCCTACCCCTGCCCTAGGGCTTTCTCTCCCATCGGCTGCCAAGACCAGTGTTCCATCATAGCAAATCCCACTGCTAGAAAATTCCTGAAATCCTGGCACTCAGGCAAATTCGCCATCAACAGGCACACAGACATAAACAACACCTACATACCTTTCAAAAGAGACAATCAAAAAGCCAGAGAGGAAACAAAAAAACCTTCTCGACAACAGCCAGATGAGCACAGATTAACACGAAGATTTAACAGCAGACTAACAATCAAGAAGCAAACAATACTCAATTAAAGAACTGCCAGGTAGCTTAACAGTAAATAACCCAATCAAGGAATCCCCAAGACAGGGCAAGCCAGTACTTTGTAAAATGAGAGGAAACCTCATTCCCTACTAATACGGATGATGTTACCTAGTTGGGTAATGAAACGTCTTCAAGAAAACAACCAAAGCTCAGAAAGTACCAAGGACCCCACAGTTCAACCCTCAGCTACAAATATCCTATTGAAATCCCACTGAGCTGCTTGCCTCCTGTCTCCTCAATGTTTTCATCCCTCCCTCCCTTCCCTCCTCCTCCTCATCTACTGCCATCATGATCAAGAGAACCCCTAAATCAGTGGTGGCGAACCTATGGCATGGGTGCCAGAGGTGGCACTCAGAGCCCTCTCTGTGGGCAAGCACGCCGTTGCCCCAGCCCTGCCACTCCCCGTGGCCCCCTCCTCACCAACACCCCCCCGGAGGAGAGTCACCCCGGGCGCAGCCTGTGCAGAGCAGCGCAGCCAAGGACATGGCAGCCGGGCAGCGGGGACAAGACTCCACCCTCGCACCCCATCGCGTACAGATGCTGCTGCGAGGCACAGACAGAGGGCGTGGCCGCCATGACGCTGCTGGGCCACCTGGCTGATCTGCTGTGGCGGGCCGTGGAGGTGGTGGGTGGCCCTGTGGGCAGGAGATGCGGGGACGGGGCAGGGGCAAGGCGGTTTTTGGGCACTCGGTCTCTAAAAGGTTCGCCATCACTGCCCTAAACCACGGGTGTCAAACTCGATCGCGTCACGTGATTTTTTTTTGCCTTTGCGGAGCCGGGGTGGGTGTGGCCTGTGCGTGATGCATCCAGCCCGCGACTCGCCAGTTTGACACCCTTGCCCTAAACCTTGGCTTTTTCCTGCTGTTAAGCCTCCCTCCAAAGGAAATCCTTCTCCCAGGAGCAGCCAACATTTGGCCAATATCAGGAATAAAACAGCCTTATGCGTGTTTCAGTTCAAGCATAAATCACCCAATATCAACTGTTCTGTTTGCCGAATGATTATACATGAAACACACTTACCCCTGCTGAATGCCTGCTATTCTAAATGGGTTAAATAACTCCTCTCTCTTTTGCCTATATTCTATTATGTTAAAACAGTCTTACTTATTTTGTTCATACAGGAATTATCTACTGCTTTTCCCAGAAAGATGCTGAGCAAGTTACTATGAGCTTGCAAAAACTGGGGATTAAAGCAGGTACTTACCATGCAAATATGGAGCCCAAAGATAAGAGCAGAGTTCACAAGCGGTGGTGTGCCAACGAAATCCAGGTGGAGTCTGTGACACAGAAGTTTTTCTATTCATCTGGGATGACTTAGTCCTGATTTCCGTCGTCTTTTATGTTTCAGGTTGTGGTGGCCACTGTGGCTTTTGGCATGGGGATTGATAAGCCAGACGTGAGATTTGTCATACATCATTCCATGAGTAAATCCATGGAAAATTACTACCAAGAGAGTGGACGCGCAGGTATACTTAAGTGAGGACATATGCTTGGGAGAAATTTGTGGAGGTTTTTTTTATAAAGATTTTATTAGTTTTCTCCTACATACATATATTAATTTTTCAACCAACATGCTGTCTGGGTTTAAAAGCGCTAATACATATTCAGTTCCTAATCCTTCATTCTTTCCTCTAGCCATTGATAGAATAAATCCCAAGTTTGGTAATATTCTGTTTGTTCTTTATCTTTCAGTCTCATAGTTAATCTGTCCATCTCTGCACATTCCAATATTTTTTCTGATTAGTTCTTCCTCCGGTGGTAATCCTTCATTTTCCCTTCTGACGTGTAAAATATAGGCTTTGTTTATTAATCTTTTCTGGCATTATAAGAAATAAGAAAAGTTCAGGTTTAAAATCAACATATTCTCCCAACATTTTTTCTAACCAGGCATGTATCTTTTTCCAATAGACCTTAGCTTTACCACATGTCCACCAAACATGATAATAAGTGCCTGAGTTGTACTTACATTTCCAGCATCTATCTGACATATTTTTAAACATTTTTGCTAATCTTGCTGGTGGCAAGTGCCATCTGTAAAACATTTTATATCAATTTTCTTTATAGGAGGTTGACATTGTCAATTTATAATTTTCTCTCCCTTAGCTTTTGCCACTTTTCTAGTTCTATATTATAACCAAAGTTTTTCGCCCATCTTATCATTGTTTCTTTAACTTGTTCGCTTTCCATTTCCAGGATCAACAAAAAATTAATTAATTTCTCATCTGAAGTTAACAAAATCTTATCAAATATAGTTTGTTCTTTATAAAATTTGTGTTTCTTAGCTGCAGGTGAAAATGTATGTATGTATATATATATATATTTAAAAAAAACTCATTCCAGGTCGGGATGACCAGCGAGCCGATTGCATCTTGTATTATGGCTTTGGTGACATATTCAGAATCAGCACCATGGTGGTGATGGAAAACGTGGGACAACAGAAGCTGTATGGCATGGTTTCCTACTGTCACGACATGGGAAGGCAAGTCGTCTTTTTCACACACGGGACTGACAGATATGTTCCTTGTGTTGCAATTACAGGTAGTCCTTGACCTACGACCGTGATTGAGCCCAGAATTTTGGTTGTAAATCACGACAGTCATAAAGCTGGTCACCACGTGTTTGTTTATGTTTATGTTTATTTAGATTTGTATACCGCCCTATCTCCCTTATGGGACTCAGGGCAGTGAACAGGCGATAATAAAAATCACAATAAATATCTATTCTAAAATCAAATTAAATAAATAAAGGCCTGCTCTAAAATACCCCATATAAAAACCTGTACTAAAACCTAATTAAGACTACGCCAGGCCGGCCGCACGAAATAGATGGGTTTTCAGGGCTCGGTGAAAAAGGCGCAGGTCCGCAGTTGTACGTAGGTCGGGGGGTAGGTCATTCCAGAGGGCAGGAGCTGCCACAGAGAAGGCTCTCCCCCTGGGGGTCGCCAGCCGGCATTGACTGGCCGACGGCACCCTAAGGAGGCCCTCTCTGTGGGAGCGGACTGGTCGAAGGNTTTTTTTTTTTGCACTGGTGTTTAAGTAAATGCGGCGATGCAATGTGAATGCAGCAGTTAAGCGAACCCAGCATATGCTGAAGGGCAGTTTTTTTCTGGAAACTAAAAGTAAAGACCAATTTCCAGCAAAAGTGTGGTAAATAAGGTCATGTGGCCGTGGGACACTGCAAACGTGGGCCGGTTGCCAAGTGCCCAAGATGCAGTCCAGTGGCCATCGGGGGAGGGGCAGCTGTCAAAACGTCAAAAACGAATACTAAGTCCCTTTTTTTGGACCATTGTAACTTCAAACCATCGTTAAGTGACTGGTCGTAAATCAAGGACTATCTCTACTATCCAAATGTTGCTGGTGATCTTTTGAGTATATAGAATTGATTCAGTTATATTACATTATGTTGTTTTACTGAAAAAGTAACTAGGTTGGCTGGCTGGCGGGCAGGAAATGGAAATGTTTTTTAATACTGTCTTACTTGAATCTTTATCTGCCCTCCATATTGGTTTCTCCTTAAATTTATATTCCTTCGATGGTCATAAAAATTATGCCTTATAGCATGCTGGCTAGGGCAGTGTTTCTCAACCTTGACAATTTTAAGGCATGTGGACTTCAACTCCCAGAATTCCACAGCCAGCATTGCTGGCTGTGGAATTCTGGGAGTTGAAGTCCTCATGCCTTAAAATTGTCAAGGTTGAGAAACACTGGGCTAGGGAATTCTGGGAGTTGAAGTTCAGACATCTTAAACGGGTTCAGAAACACGGCTTTAAAGATTGGCACAGATAGTCCTTGAGTTAATGACCATAGTGGAGTCCCTCGGTATGACCGATCCGATTTTATGACCTTTTTGCAGTATCTAAGCCAACCCTTTGTTTGCTATGGTGCAGTTTTGCCGAAAACCAGAAATAAGTGTGAGTTTTTGGCAAAACCGTTGTACAACACATGTTGACTGCAGAACACTGCAAACGGCCTCAAATGCCGCCGTGTTGCTGAGCTGTCCAAGTGTGGTCATGTGACTGCAGGGTGGGTGCTGACTATCAGAACTTCAGAACTGGACTTGAAGTCTCTTTTTCTTCAGGCAGGCTGCAACTTCGAACAGTTGCTAAGTGATTGCTTATAACTCAAGGACTATCTGTAGACTGTAGGTGTATCGACCCATTGATTGCTTCTGACTCTGGTGTTTCTGCTGCAGGTGCCGCCGCGTCCAGATCGCTCATCACTTTGAGGAGGCCTGGGATTCTGCCAATTGTAATAAAATGTGTGACAATTGCAGCCAAGAAGAGAGTAAGTGGGAGAGCAGGAAAAAGACGACCAAGTGAAGGGAATCGCTACCAAATCGGGTTTTTTTCAAAGTGGAATTATAACAGCCTGAAGTGATGAAAGTGATAATTTACATAGGCATAAAGCTGGTCGTGAGTCACCGTTCCAGATTCTGAAACCCTCTTGTATATCTCTGCTTTAGTTCAGCCATTAGTGTAACGCAGTGGTTCTCAACCTTTTTAATGCCACGACCCCAACCGGTCGTAAGTCGAGGACTAAATCGGTCGTAAGTCGAGGACTAAACCGGTTGTAAGTCGAGGACTAAACCGGTTGTAAGTCGAGGACTACCCAACCGGTCGTAAGTCGAGGACTTTCCCTGCCCGGGAGCGCCGCGCATGCGTGGTTCCGCCCCCTGCGCCGGCAGAGGCGTAGCTGGCAAGCGGCAGAGACGGAGCAGGCCAACCACCAGCTGGCCCAGCCCAAGGGAGGTAAGGCACCCGCCGGAAAAGGGGGGAAAAAATGGACAAAAAAAATGGCGGACAAAAAAAATGGCGGACAGCCTTGCTTGGCGACCCCCATGAAATGGTCGATCGACCCCAAATGGGGTCCCGACCCACAGGTTGAGAACCACTGGTGTAACGGTTCACCAAGCCCAATTAGAGATTGTTAAGAATATCGTCAAACTTCCCTGCTGATAAAAGTTAGTGTAGCATAGCATACGTGCACAAATCAAATGAGTAACTATTTCTCTGTCAGGGCTTTATAAGGCATTTGCGTAATAAGAGTTGTTTGAATCATATGCAAATGAGAGAGGATAGCAGAAATATCTTAGGCAGGAATTATCTTTTTATGCTCTTCGCAGTCTAATACTTACTTATTCATATCTCACAATTGACAGAGATTCGTGTGATAATCTCAGATAACACTTTTTCCCGAGATGTAAACTGGTTATATCAAACACCTCCATTGATCTATAACAGTGGTGGCGAACCTATGGCATGGGTGCCAGAGGCGGCACTCAGAGCCCTCTCTGTGGGCACGCACGCCGTCGCCCCAGTCCTAGGCCTTCAGCTGGGTTTTATAAAACCTTTTCGCTTTAGGCCTCTGCCGCTGTGTACAAAAAACAAAAAAAGTGCAATCAGTCAATTTCAACTTCTCGCGGGAAAAAAAAGATCTTGCAAAGTTGGAATTGATTGAACTTTTTAGTCCCACCCAGTCTGCTGTTACCACCGCAGCCACACCCAGCCAATGGGCCACACCCAGCCAATGGGCCACACCCACCCGGCACCCGACGGTGCATAAGTGGGTTTTGGGTTGCAGTTTGGGCACTCGGACTCTAAAAGGTTCGCCATCATTGATCTATAATTTCTTGAGATTTAATAGCTAAACTGAAACTCCTAATGTCTGGAGTACTTCTGCAGTATCTTCCTAATCAACTTTTCTATCGCTTTGGAAATCGGCCTGTCTGAGAATAGAGCGAGGAGTTTATGAGTTTAGTTAACCTTTTTTAATGGTTCTTTTTGCCTCTGAGTTCCTAAGACACCAGGATTAGAATTAGAAAGCATCTCACATTCCTTACCCATTCAACTGTCGTTTTCCTAACAGAACAATTAATCAGTGCCACAACTTGCCTCCAGAAATTGTGAAGGCTCCAGCGCTGGTAATTTTTAAAAACTATTTGTCTGAAATGGCATAGGGCTTCCTGCCTGAGCAAGGGGTTGGACTAGAAGACCCCCAAAGTACCTTCCAGCTCTGTTAACTCTGTTTTGTTCTAGATTAGCCATCAGTAGAGCCTTCCCAGAATCCTTTGTTTCAGTAGCTTGGAAACAAATGCTGTTTGTTGGAGATTTTCCATATTTGAGTCACAGTATTTTTTGTTCAAATGAAATTGTATTGTCCATTGTTGTGTGTAGGGAATGTGGTTTTTTAAAAAAAATCTGGTGGTTTTTCAGAGTTTTTTCCCCCAGATCCTTCTACAGCAGACATGTCAAACACAAGGCCCGGGGGCCGGATGCGGCCCGCGAAGTGGTTTCATGTGGCCCGCGAAGCCATCCTGGAAACAGTGAGAGAACGGCCCCCTCTGCCTTGGCCCTGGCCCAGGCCGGCCGGGAGCCAATGTACAATTTTGTGGTGGCCATCTATGCTGAAACGCATTCAGTCTTAGCTCCACAAGGCCGTCTAGAAACAGCGAGGAACCAGCCCCTGCCGCGTCGCCCCCGCCCCCTGGGTGCACGCTGGGGAGGTGTCACCCTTTGTGAGGAATGAAGAAATGGACCATGCCTTGGCGCTTGCCCCGGTCCCACCCCCTTCTGCCAGAGACCCTCAGATCTGTCCCACTCCTGCCCAGGCCCCCACAGGCACCCTTGACGCGAACGATGTAGAGCTGGCCACGCCCACCCAGTAGGCCACACCCACTCCATCCACACCCACCCAGTAGGCCGCACCCACCTTGGCCACACCCACCCAACCCCCCGGAGGCAACCGCAATGCTGATGCGGCCCTCAATGAAATTGAGTTTGACACCCCTGTTCTACAGGGTGGGGCTTGGTACACAATATGCACAGGCAGAATTTTTTACAGTTTCCATCTAAAATAGAAGTGGTCCTCGACTTACAAGCATTTGCTTAGTAACTATTCAAAGTTACAGCGTTACTAAAAAAAAAAAAGTTACTTACAGACTTTCCTTGCACTTANGCGGCCCTCAATGAAATTGAGTTTGACACCCCTGTTCTACAGGGTGGGGCTTGGTACACAATATGCACAGGCAGAATTTTTTACAGTTTCCATCTAAAATAGAAGTGGTCCTCGACTTACAAGCATTTGCTTAGTAACTATTCAAAGTTACAGCGTTACTAAAAAAAAAAAAGTTACTTACAGACTTTCCTTGCACTTACGGCCGCCACTGCGTTCCCCATGATCACATGATCAAAATTTGTGCGCTTGGCAGCCGGCGTGTATGGACAACAGTTGTAGCATCCTGGAATCTTGTGACTGCCATTTGTTGACCTTCCCAAGCAAAGTCAAGGAAGGATAGCCAGATTCACTTAACGGCCACATAATTCACTTAAATGTTTTGCTTAACAACCATGGCAGAAAAGATAGGAAATTGGGCATGACTCACTTAGCAACTGGCCACTTAGCAACCAAAATTCTGCTCTCGGTTGTGATTGTAATTTGAGGACTATCTGTATCCTCGTATCTGAAAGCAGCTCTCCTCATAGCTGAGATTCAGAAGATTCAGATGAACTATTTTCATCCACAGCTAATTGATATAATCCTATAATAATATTAAGGAATCTGAAGGAATATTTAGAATCCCGGGCTCCTCAGGGAATAGCAGATATTTCTGTAACTTGCATCCTCCAGCTGTGTTAAAATCTAAAAAAAAATATAAAGCCTTTTAGTTACCATTTCTTTTCCTCAGAGTACAGTTTAAAGTGTTTACCAGTAATTACATGGCTGGTTTGTGGAGCTGAACATTTAGGATGTTATTGATAGATTTGCATAGACTTTCTTTGACAGGCAGGATTTGAATTAGGGATGCATAGTCTGAAGCCCTGAATCCATGGGTCCCTAGAGCAGAGGTCCCCAACCTTTGGAGCACCAGGGACCAGTTCCGTGGAGAGAGGTTTTTCCGCAGACCAGAGGGTACATGGTTTTGTGTGCTGCCTGCATCCCGCGGATGGGGCTTTGCTTGTTTGTGTGGACCGGTTGCTGGCATGCCGCGGCCCGGTACTAGTCCACGGACCGGGGATTGAGGACCCCTGCCCTAGAGCAGGGCTTTTCAACCAGTGGTACGGGTACCACCTGTGGTACATTGGCACCTGGCAGATGGTACACGAACATCCTAGAAAAGTGGTAGCAGGGGAGGGGAATGAGCTGAACCGGTAGCAGCACCGCACAAGCTTGAGTGAGAGATGGCTGGAGCTGCAGGGCTGTCAGGGCTCAGTGGAAGCACCAGGATCAGCGCCAGGCTCCAGCTGGTGCTCGGCGCTGATCCTGGCACTTCTGAGCCCAGAAGAAGCGCCAATCTGCTGGAATGTTGCAGCATCTCCAGGATCTTGTGATTTACATTCAGATGCTTGGCAACTGATTCATATTTATGACGGTCACAGTGTCCCAGGGGTCATGTGAAGTGACCAAAACCTGCTGCAACCACCCATCAGACGGGGGGGATAAAAACCAAACACCCTCCCACCCCCACCCCCATTGCCAATCCTCAACAGAAATGCTCACAACAATGAAAACCTCGGACAGGAGGAAGAGCGCGGCCGGGCGGGCAGGCAAGTGTCTTGCTCGGCTGTGGCTTGGGGGGCACTTTTTTCAGTGCCATTGTAACTTCGAACAGTCACTAAGTGAACTGTTGTAAGTCGAGGACTACTGTACTTCATCACTTTTTTCCTTTTTTTTTTTTTTTGGTCATCAAGTTTTTGACACCTTGCTAGGCGACTGGTGGTCCTCGGATGTTGCCATATCCTAAAAGTGGCACAATGGGTGAAAAGGTTGTAAAGCCCTGGATTAGAGCCTCTTTGAAAGTTGCTGATGCAGCTGATCACTCGATGAGAAATTAGAAGGATTTGGCCTGTCGACAAAAGAACCTGTATTTTCACATTTGTTCAGATCCCTTTCTTCTTCTATTGGACCACTCTGCAGGGTGGATCCCTGATTGGTTTTCATCCTTTCATCTTTTGTTTTCTACACATTTAGAAACATGGGAGTTGACGACCCAAAAGGACCCGTGTGTAGAGCAGAAACTGAATCCAACTACTGCTTTTATCTTCCTTTGCTTTCCTTGGGAATAATATTTGTTCCTGTGTGCTAATTCTCTCCTCTCAGCGCTGGAGAAGATGGATGTGGCGGAGCACTGCCGGGATCTCATCAAGATTTTAAAGCAAGTGGACCAAAGAAAGGAGAAATTCACTCCTTTGAAATTGATTGATGCTTGGCTAGGGAAGGGCCTCTCCAAACTGGGACTGGAGATTGCTGCTCCCAAATTTCCCCGTGAGGTATTGGAGAGAATCGTTGCCCATTTGATTCTGCAACAGTATCTGAAGTAAGTTTGGTGGCTTTTTAAAATCTGCCCTTTTCCGTGCAACCCAGATACACTCTTAATAATAATAATGATAAAGTTGGAAGGGACCTTGGAGGTCATCTAGTCCAACCCCCTGCTCAGGCAGGAAACCCTACACCATTTCAGACAAATAGCTGTCCAGTCTCTTCTTAAAAACTTCCAGTGTTGGAGCATTCACCGCTTCTGGAGGCAGGTTGTTCCACTGGTTAATTGTTCTAACTGTCAGGAAGTTTCTCCTTAGTTCTAGGTTGCTTCTCTCCTTGATTAGTTTCCACCCGTTGCTTCTTCTCTTGCCTTTAGGCACTTTGGAGAATAGCTTGACTCCCTCTTCTTTGGGGCAGCCCCATAGAAACTGGAAGACTGCTATCATGTCCCCCCCTCGTCCTTCTCTTCATTAGACTAGACCAGGGGTAGGCAACCTTGGCTCTTTTATGACTCGTGGACTTCAACTCCCAGAATTCCTGAGCCAGCCATGGCTCAGCTTGGAAACCTCTCCCTTTCCCCTCAGCATGGCTGGCTCAGGAATTCTGGGAGTTGAAGTCCACGAGTCATAAAAGAGCCAAGATTGCCTGCCCTTATACTGTACCCCTCATCTTTCTTATCAGCACTTTCTTATTATTGGTCAATGTTTTCTTCCTATGCCCCTGGCAACCTTGGCTCTTTTATGACTCGTGGACTTCAACTCCCAGAATTCCTGAGCCAGCATGGCTCAGCTTGGAAACCTCTCCTTTTATTTATTTATTTATTTTTAAAATTTATATCCCGCCCTTCTCCTTGCGGACTCAGGGCGGCTCCCTTCAGCATGGCTGGCTCAGGAATTCTGGGAGTCGAAGTCCACGAGTCATAAAAGAGCCGAGGTTGCCTACCTCTGGACTAGACATACCCAATTCCAGCAGCCGTTCCTCTTCATCACCCCAGTGCTTGTATCTCTTTCACAAATCACTACAAAATCGTCAACCACAGATTAGAATCACGTACAGGACATTTGGACGGATTTAGGAAGGAAAGTCAAATTGTTTTTCTGAAAACAGAAGGTCCCTTCTGAAGTCAAAATGTCGGAAACGGTGTTATAGGATACACTTTTATCCTGGGTCTCGATTGGAAGACTTTCTATTCCGAGTACAATAGTGATACGTTTCCTCTCTGGGCACAAATAAAACCGCTAAGGTGAGACTATTATTTTTCTCTCTCTCTATTTTTTAACAGCAGTTATCTAGTCATTCTGGTTGTGGTATACTTCAAAGTTATTAATCTTCACTATAGAGAAGTACATTAGGATGTTACTGTTCATATCTTTGCCTGATTTATATCTGATAGATCAGTGATGGCGAACCTTTTAGAGACCGAGTGCTCAAAAACTGGCCCCGCCCCCGTTTCACCCCCTGCCCCGCCCCCCACCTGCCTGCCTGCAGGGCCACTCACCACCTCCAGGGCCCGCTGCAGATCGCCCAAGCAGCCCAGCAGCGCCATGGCGGCCACGCCTTCTGCCTGCGCCCCGCAGCATCAACTGCGCGCGATGGGGCGTGAGGGCAGAGTCTTGTCTACACTGCCTGGCTGCCATGTCCTTGGCTGTGCTGCTCCGCATGGGCCACGCTCAGGGGTGACTCTCCTCCAGGGGGGCTGCTGGTGAGGAGGGGGGCACGGGAGGAGGCAAGACTGGGGCAACGGCACATGTGCCCACAGAGAGGGCTTCGAGTGCCGCTTCTGGCATGCGTGCCATAGGTTTACCACCACTGATCTATGCAGTCACATGATGAAACTCAGCATTAAATTACCGGTGTGAGCAGATGGTAAAGTTAAAGGCTGCTGGGAGGCTGCATTAAATGCCGCCATTCTAAAATGCGACCCGTGCATCAGCTAAACGATTCCGCGATCATTTCCAAAGAGTTGTGGCATGGTAATAGATCTAGGTACTTCAAATATTTGAAACACATTGGCATCCTTGTCTGTTTCCTGTATCGCTTGCTAATATCTAGTTCTAGAGAGGTTTTATCCGGTGCCCTCCAAATGGTTTGGTCTACAGCTCAAAAAATCTCTTGGTAATGGTTATATTGATTTCAGTTGATGGACATATTTGGAAGGCTTGCTATAGTCTAATCCAGGGGTAGGCAACCTTGGCTCTTTTATGACTCGTGGACTTCAACTCCCAGAATTCCTGAGCCAGCGTGGCTCAGCTTGGAAACCTCCCCCTTTCCCCTCAGCATGGCTGGCTCAGGAATTCTGGGAGTTGAAGTCCACCAGTCATAAAAGAGCCAAGGTTGCCTACCCCTGCCCAAATGCCTGAATTTTGATCACATGACTGTGAGGAAAAATATTTAAATATTTAAACTAGGGGTCTTCAAACTTGGCTCTTTTATGACTTGTGGACTTCAACTCCCAGAATTCCTGAGCCAGCATGGCTAAGCATTGAAACCTCTCCCTTTCCCCTCAGCATGGCTGGCTCAGGAATTCTGGGAGTTGAAGTCCACGAGTCATAAAAGAGCCAAGGTGGCCTAGCCCTGGTCTAATCAAAGCAATGCCTTTTCTGTTCCTATGACATAACTCAGAGAAAGGCCAAATATTGCCTTTTTTATGGGCCACCAGGACTTTCAGGGAGAAGATTCAGAAAAAGCACTCCCCGTGTAAAGTTTGTATTTGCTTTAATATGTTCAAAAATGGCTTCGTCAACAGGGGAAAGTTTCTCAATTATCCAGTCCAAGGACCCCAGGGAAGAAAATGAAGTTTACATCCCTCAACCAGGAAGGCGACTCTCCTTCGAAAGATCACGTTAAAGCAAAAAAAGTCAAACTTACGGCTAATAAAGAGGAAGATGAGCCTGTGGTCATAGATTAAGAAAATAGCTTTGGGGGACAACCTACACATTTATGCACGTGGGAAGACAGGCCAGAGAGTCAGAAAAAAAAGAAACCGGTTGGAGAAAACGGGCCACGTATTGGTGACTGCTATCATCTGCTGCTTCCTGGCTACAAAGTCACGTTGGCAAAAGAAACTGCTTTCCTTATGTTTTTAAACATATATACACACTATCAGATTTTTATAAATACAGATGTAAAACCTGTGTGTAATGGAACTGGAGAGTCTGAGGCAAGCGTTAAGAGGCCTGGCCTATTGGAAAGTAAGCTTGTCTTAAAAAATAGAAATGGCTTTTCAGAAGCCATTTCTGTTCCAATTTGCTGCTGAAATAAAAATGCCTTGAAATGCAACTTTATATAATCGCTTCCCGTTGAAAAGTCCAGGGTGCAAAGTAATTCCTAAAAGCCAAGAGTGATCCAGCAATTGCGGATAAAAAAAATCAGTTCCGGTATAAATGTTCAACAGAGAGCTCAAATACAGGGTGCTTATTTTAGCTGCTCTCTCACTAGAAGACATAACAGAGTGGATTTATGTCGAATAAAGTTTCTGATTTAAAACGTGAAGAGAAACTGGGGAAGAACATTTGAAAACTGTGGGTTCTGTTACTTAAAGAGGCCCTTTCATCTTTAGAAAAGGTCTGTGAACATAGAATACAGTTCCATTAGTACCGCTTCCATTTTTTTACTCATCATAATCAAAGGGTCATGCAAATTCTCCATGTTGATGTTGTCTTGAAGATGGGATTGCTGTTGTACAAGCACTCAGGCTCCCTAATAACATCATAAAAGATAGTAATGTAATTGAGCTCAAAGTAGACCGTTGCTTTTTTAATTCAACTATTTGATGATGCTCTTAAATGAAGAAGCAACAAAGGCCTTCAGGGTTTAGAATCCATCTTGGTTTCTAAGTATATAGAAATGATACTTCAAAGCAAATATGTATTGGAGCAGTATCTGAACCTGGTTACTTTAATATCTGTAAAAAAAGTTTTTATTGTGGCTTAAGTCTTAATACTTAGTCAATTAAAACCTTTATGTAATCTAATGTATTTTCCCTTGATTTTTTTTTTAAAAATTACAATAGGCACCCTTTATTATTACATCAAAGGTATTGTCCCCAGAATATCAAGAAGTTGCCTTGAAATTCTGAAAACTCCTAAAAGTTTAATAGGAAAGTATAATTTAGAAAAGTGTAGTTTAGAAAAGAGTCAGAACATAATGAGTATCTTGTGTAGAGCCTGGGCTCATATTTTTTTTATAGAAAACTCTTTGAGCATGTGAGGTTCAATTGTAAATATTAAAAAACCAGCCTTGATTCCCATTTTGTATTAAGCCATGATTTTGCACAATGTGAATTTACAATCTTGGGCAAATGTCGCTCCTTATTAAGCTATCATTTGCTAGGCTAGAGGAAGGCATGTCACATTCTAATGATCCCTCTATTTGATCTGTTTCTTACAACCAGTTTCTTTAGCCTGGTTGTTGTTAGTTGCGAAGTCGTGTCCGACCCATTGCGACCCCATGGACAACGTTCCTCCAGGCCTTCCTGTCCTCTACCATCTTCTGGAGTCCATTTAAGCTCACGCCTACTGCTTCAGTGACTCCATCCAGCCACCTCCTCCTCTGTCATCCCCTTCTTCTCTTGCCCTCAATTTTTCCCAGCATTAGGCTCTTCTCCAGTGAGTCCTTCCTTCTCATTAGGTGGCCAAAGTACTTGAGTTTCAACTTCAGGATCTGGCCTTCTGAAGAGCAGTCGGGGTTGATCTCCTCTAGGACTGACCGGTTTGATCGCCTTACAGTCCAGGGGACTCGCAGGAGTCTTCTCCAGCACCATAGTTCAAAGGCCTCAATTCTTTTGCGCTCAGCCTTTCTTACGGTCCAACTTTCACAGCCGTACATTGCAACTGGGAAAATCTGGTACCTGTGTGCATTAAAACGCTGCCCTCGGACCTTTAGGTCCGTATTTTTTCTTGGCTGGAAAAGAATCATCTCAATAATTAAGGACGTCAGGGAACTAGCAAGCTGAAAGACATCTACCTCAAATATGACTTCTATTTTCTGAAGCCCTTGGGCATTTTGGATCTGGAGGTTTAATCGCCACAATTGTGTAAGAGGCCAGTAACACACTTCAGATTTTAAATGTTTCTCTTGGCCATAAGGTTTAGGACAGGGGTAGGCAACCTTGGCTCTTTTATGACTTGTGGACTTCAACTCCCAGAATTCCTGAGCCAGCATGGGAATTCTGGGAGTTGAAGTCCACGAGTCATAAAAGAGCCAAGGTTGCCTACCTCTTGTTTAGGAACTCCTGTTCTCCAGCAGTCTCTTTGACTTCTATATTATTTCAGGCTCAGAAGAATGGATGCCTTTTCAGTAAGATTTCCACTAGAAACCTATTGTCACTTGTGGTCTTTTACAAATGCAAACCTCTGTGCTATAAATTAGGGTTCCCAGTGCTTGGGGTCCAATAGGCACACATCTGAACTTTTTTTTCACAGAGCACCAATTTGCAATAATACAAACTGCAGACTATTAAATCCCCTACTCTCCATCCCCTTTTTCATTTGAAGCAGGGAGGGAGGTATAAGTGGACACATTTTTAATACTGTTGTGCAGTTCTCCAGTTTGATGGGCTAAATTGCCTGTGGGATATTCTTTCTGTTTAGAAATAAAACCTGCATGCAGCAGGTGGGCTTTTCAGAGCATTCAATCTAATTATTTAAATAAATTTTTGTTAAGCCATTTTGCGTTTCAGCTTTGAAGGATGGAATAGAGAGGTAGACACAGAGGCCATTAACGGCCTTTGAAAATAAGTCAGCCATGATCCAGCTAGAATCAAGTTGCCGTTTTATTCCAGAATGTAAACCATTCATGCCATAAATTATTTTGCATGATAAAGGGGTACTTTAAATAAAAGAGAGTTTCTTTTGTCTTTTCGTCAGATTCTGCATGCCTTCGAAACTGGGATTAGTCTAACTAAAAGTCCATCCCAGTTCAGGAAAATCCTTTTGTCTCTTCAGAAAAAAAAACAGTCAATAGATATTGATTCTTTCCCCCAGATCAGGGGAAGGCAACCTTGGCTCTTTTATGACTCGTGGACTTCAACTCCCAGAATTCCTGAGCCAGCCAGGCTGGCTCAGGAATTCTGGGAGTTGAAGTCCACGAGTCATAAAAGAGCCAAGGTTGCCTACCCCTGCCCCAGATGTTTAATCAAAATAATCCTCAATATCAATATTTGGATCCAAAAGATCTTCGCCATAGCGGGAGAGATCCATCTGATTCAGAATCAAGTTTTCAAAGGTTTCTTCCAGATCCGTTTCTCCTATCAGCACTGCTCCCAGCATTCGTCCATTCTGCATCACCACTTTGATGTACTCCTGTCCTTTGGTGCACCTCAACATCAGTTCGTGGTCCAAGCCCAGGCCTTGAGCATTATATTTTCCCAGCAGCACCACCTAGACAAAACACCCAAAACCATAAAGTCTTGACATGTCTGAAATGTTAAACATTGTCTGAAATGACATAGGGCAGAGGTCCCCAACCTTTTGGCTTCACCTATGTACGTGCCGCACGATGCTATGCTACTCGAATAAAGATTCTTTAAGGAAAACAATGCCTGGAAGTTCTTTGAAGAGTTTCATCTGTTGGAACCACGACATTACGCCAAAATCTGAATTCCCCTCCCCTGAACACGTAGTATCAAGTGCAATTCCTTCCTCTGATTAACAGTCATAAATCACATTCTCCCTCTGATTAACAGTCATAAATCACATTCTCCAATTAGTTTGAAATGCAGGCTTTCCCTCCAGTTCTCCAACCCGCCATTTCTTATCATCTCTTATTTCAAATAACCTTGATTCTTACACTGCTACAATATTGTTATGTCTAACTAACTACCATACCCATTCCCCCCCCCAGTATCATCTAATTCTAACTTCAAAAGTAAAACATAAGAAGGAAAATGGCTGCATCTCCATATGTTGTCAAAGCAAGAACATCCGATGTTAGCAGCGTTGACAACCGTTCAAAGTTACAACGGCACTGAAAAAAGCGACGTAGGACCGTTTTTCACAGCTACGACCTTTGCAGCATCCCCAGGGTCATGTGATCAAAATTCAGAAGCTTGGCAACTGGTTCGTACTTATGACCGTTGATGTGTCCCAAAGTCATGTGGTCCCCTTTTGTGACCTGCCAAGCCAAATCAATGGGGAAGCCAGATTCACTTAACAACCGTGTTATCAATTTATCAGCTGCAGTGATTCACTTAACAACTGTGGCAAGAAATGTCGTAAAATGGGGCAAACTTCACTTCACAGATGTCTCAACAACAGAAATTTTGGGCTCAATTGTGGTCGTAAGTCGAGGACTACCTGTACACCTACTGTAAAAAAGCACAGGAAACCCTACACTCATGATTTCTTTTGGATCAACTGCGCAGAATAAGACCGTCTCCTGTACTTTTTTTTTTTATAAAAGTCCTCTGCATGGAAAGTGATTTCAAATATCAAAATATTTAACATCTGTCCAATCACACAGAACTTAATACTACGCATATTTTTAGTTCCTTGGATATTTAAAGACCATGACAAGACATTTTCAACTCATTTATGTTCCGTGCACATCTGGGCCTGCTGCTATTAAAAACCAGGCGCAAGTCCTATGGCAATTTAGAAATTCAGTACGAAATTGCCATTATTTTAGTCACCAAGGATTTGGAACATTAAAGTGTCTTGGGCCAGATGTGTTAAAACGCCTCCTCGGAGGACGCAGTCGGTAGCAAGTACTTATTTCTGCCCAATTCTGCATCCACATTTAGAATTTAGAAAGAGGCCATTTAAGACATCAGATCCAACTTCTGCTCAGCGCAGACTCCAAATTATACCATCCAAAGCAAACAGCTATCTAGCAGCAGTATACAAAACATTTTGGATTTGAAACTACGCAAAACATCTATTTATGTTATTAAACCAGGGGTCTTCAAACTTGGCAACTTTAAGACTTGTGGACTTCAACTCCCAGAATTCCTCAGCCAGGAATTCTGGGAGTTGAAGTCCACAAGTCTTAAAGTTGCCACGTTTGAAGACCCCTGTATTAAATGTTACAAGGTCAGACTGGCTCCTTTTGAACTCTAAACCATTATTCTGCCTTTTGGAAAATGCATTTGGAATTGAGTGGGGAATATTTTATATATCACTGCAATTCAGTTTGTGTGGGAGTCGAGCCTATTCCTCCTTCTCTTGAGAAGAGTTTTCAAATGTTCCACAGTCAACAAAACTTAATTATGGCTCTGATTTTTGCAACAGAAAGTCGTCAACTTCCACCCGGCGGTTAATCTTTTAGACTACAAGGTAGTCCTTGACTTACACCCGTAATGGAATCTGCCCCTTATGGGCGTTAAGTCCTGGCAGTCATAAAGCAGGCCACCCACATCACTAACTCGATTTTATGACCTTTTTTTGTGGCAGGCATGAAGTGAGTCCATTGTTTTCTCTGGGGCATTGTCATAAATTGAAGTCACACAACTGTAGGGTGCTACAAACGGCCAAAAATGTGACTGAAATGTGGTCATGTGATTGCAAGAATGAGACCGGACATTGGAAACTGGCTTGTAAGTACACTATACGGTGGGAGGGGGATAATAACTTTCAGTGGTCACTAAGGAACTGGTCATTACCCAAGAACTACTTTTATGTGTTGCCAATGTGTAATAATGGATGCCAATTCAATACACAATAGGTCAGGGGTAGGCCACCTTGGCTCTTTTATGACTCATGGACTTCAACTCCCAGAATTCCTGAGCCAGCATGGCTCAGCTTGGAAACCTCTCCCTTTCCCCTCAGCATGGCTGGCTCAGGAATTCTGGGAGTTGAAGTCCACGAGTCATAAAAGAGCCAAGGTTGCCTACCCCTGCAATAGCAATTAGCTCAACTGGCATGAAATGAGCATAATTTCTCTGGCCAAGGTTCCAAGGCAATTGGTTTACCTTGTAATTGAAAAACTTCGTAGAGTGAGCAAAGAGTTCAAAGCTGAAATCCGTATCTGGAGGTTCTCCTAAAGAATCAGCAGCCATACATTTTGCAGCGTACCATCCCATCTGGCGTGCCTGGGTCCAAAGCCTCATCTGAAAAAGAAGCACAAAAACAAAAACAGTTTCATCNCCTTGTTTATTTTAAATTAATTAGAATAGCCCTTTCTTCCTTGATTCCCTCTGTAAGATCACATCTGGATTCAAGGCTAGAAATATCATTTCTGTTCTACAGGACCTCTTGTTCAACACTTAGTGCTTGTGCTATGTAACCCAACAAAGTAACCCACATTTTGTATGTGCATCTCTTTCCTTGTAAAGAGTAGACTATAAATGGCATGCACTTCAACCTGCAAAAGATACCAAACCATCTAGCGATGGTAGATGGTACCAAAGCTAGGCTAGATGGACAAAGTCCTTCCCAGTTGCTATTAAAAAATGCATAGAAATTAAGGTTGCGGCATCAGGAAGAAGCAGGTTCAAATTAACTATCCTTGCTTGGACCAACTACCTCATAGAGAGATTACAAGGGGAATAAAATGTGGGAGAAACCTGGGTACATCTTGGTCATTGTGTGTAATTACTCAGCAATGTCCAAATGGCAGACATGTCAAACACAAGGCCCAGGGGCTGGATGCGGCCCGCGAAGTGGTTTCATGTGGCCCGCGAAGCCATCTTGGAAACAGTGAGGGAACGGCCCCCGCTACCTTGGCCCTGGCCCAGGCCGGCTGGGAGCCAATGTACAATTTTGTGGTGGCCATCTATGCTGAAACACATTCAGTCTTAGCTCCACAAGGCTGTCTGGAAACAGCGAGGAACCAGCCCCTGCCGTGTCGCCCCTGCCCCCTGGGTGCATGCTGGGGAGGTGTCACCCTTTGTGAGGAATGAAGAAATGCGCCATGCCTTGGCGCTTGCCCCAGTCCCACCCCCTTCTGCCAGAGACCCCCAGATCTGTCCCATTCCTGCCCAGGCCCCCACAGGCACTCTTGACGCCAACGATGAAGAGCTGGTCATGCCCACCCAGTAGGCCACACCCACTCCAGCCATGCCCACCCAGTAGGCCATGCCCACCCTGGCCACACCTACCTTAGGACAACCGCAATGCTGATGCGGCCCTCAATGAAATTGAGTTTGACACCCCTGTCTTAAGGGCTTGAGGATCTTGAGAGGAACGGACTGTACTTCTCTGTCTTTTCTAACATTCAGTTGGGCACTGGTATTTAGATAGCAGCAATTCCACTCCTACTTAGACTGGTCCCATTTTTCTCTCTATTTTACCGCAAGAAACAAGACGAAATGCTTATACTTTGACACTCAACTGTAATGAACAAAAAATGAATTACACTCTGACGGAATTCAAGGAGCATCTTCCAGTCTCTGAAAAAAAAGCACTGTTGATCTCCTGAGGGAGGAGCTTGGCCTGCTATCAGATACGATTATCTGCTCTGGGGTGACAATGGTGGGACCAAATGAGCTGCACAGACGCTGAGCATCTTATCAATGTCCACTTGAGTAGACTTATCTACCTCTGCTTTCACTACGGAAGTGGCACTTGGTAGACCCCTTGGTTCCTTGCCTTCTGCAACAGAGAACCGGAGATCAGAATGCAGTAATTTCTTTCCTAGGTAGATAAGAAAAAAGGCAATGATAGCAATCAAAGTGGCTTTTTGAGTTTCATTCATTCATTTCATTTTATTCAATTTGTATCCCGCCCTTCTCCCGAAGGACTCAGGGCGGCTCACAACATTTTTTAAAAAACAAAGACAAACCCACACACCCCACCGAATAAAACCAAATTAAAACCAATATTTTAGTGTTGTGGTAATTAAAATTTCTAAGAAACCCAATTTAAAAAATCCTCCCTAGGCCAGGCCCGCTTGTTGGAAAAGCCATGTCTTGAGGGCGCGGCGGAAAGTAAGGAGATCCGGAATCATCCGGATCTCGGGGGGTAGTTCATTCCAGAGGGCAGGGGCACCCACAGAGAAGGCCCTCCCCCTGGGGGTCGCCAGTCAACATTGCTTGGCCGACGGCACCCTGAGGAGACCCACTCTGTGGGAGCGTACCGGTCTATGGGAGGGAATCTGTGGCAGAAGGCGGTCTTGGAGGTAGCCAGGTCCTATGCCATGGAGCGCTTTAAAGGTGGTAACTAACACCTTAAAGCGCACCCGGAAGGCCACTGGCAACCAGTGCAGCTCGCGCAACAGCGGCGTT